TAGTATCTAAGCAATCATCCAATATGGATGGTCCTCCATCTACATCAAATCTACGAAAGGACTGCATTAGTGAAAATATTGAAAAAATTTTATCAAATATATTTTGTACCTTTTTCCTATAGAGCATGACCTTCTCAGTATTTTGTCAACATCCGTCTCAACTTTTGATGCATTGACTTGAACTTTTTTCCGCAAGATAGCTTGCGAAATTTTCTACAAAATCCAATATGAACAGCTGTCCAAATGAATAACTTAGGATGGCTTGAAACCCGTTCCTTCATGAAAGAAGATATCATTGGCTTCGTAGAAAAAAACAGCGTTACTCAGTGAAAAGTTTTAAGGATTTAATCAGAATTATTTTGCACCAAAATCAAAATGAAAATCGATTGAAATCTTCGATTATAATCGACTATGATTGAATCAAAATTTAAAAAACATGCTTGAGGAAATATTGAATTTTGTATGACTGGCCGTCGGACTCTACAATGCCAAGGATTTGTGGTAGTATTCCTTTGTTACAGTTGAAGAAGAATTCTACGGAATACTCGAGTTAGATAAACTACTAACTGCCGAAAGTTTTCTTTGTTTTCAGTGGCAACGTTTAGATGCCTAAGAAACAATTTCAGCAAAGTGATAAAAGCCACGATGAAATTCCTGTTTTCTGTTAAGATTGCTATATCACAATTATTGTTTTTCACCAAAATAGATCGAAAACTGCTCTTTCGAGAATCAAAATTAAACTAACAATAAATGTTGACATATTTCTTTTATTCGTCGTCTTTTGACATAAGTTGTGAATTTCTTCTTAACCATACGAACTTTATTCAATTCAAAATAGTAATTAAAAATAAGAAGCACTAATTGTATTGAATGGAATAAAAGAAATTCGCCCTTGCGTTTTTACTCTTAACATCTTGATGGAGATCTTATAAAGATTTTTTAGCCTGTTTTAAATTCAAAACGTTCAGTGATCTATGCAAAGTAGCTAGTATGATAATTGAGAAACATTAGAAATGAAATATACGTTGGAGTTTATTTAAAACATCTGCAATACTTCTGCTTGTTTTATGATCTAAAAATTAGCACTTCTATCAATGTTGTTAATATAGTAGTACCTTTTATTAGATAATATTCAATGAAATTCTTGTTCCCTAACTGTAATGATCGTCGGAACAGACAAGGAAGTCGGAAGTGCAACAATCTCTTCCGCAGATGCCATAAATTAGAGTTTTTGTTATTATAATCAGTGAAAAGTTTTCAAAACAAACACATAATTGGAGTTTACTAACCTATTCCCGACAACGCACAATTAAGTAATATTTTTCTCGAGCGAGCTATAAGGTAAAATCAAAAATTTGTCATTTCAAGTAGCAACTATAAAATTATATATAACCTAAAACATCTCTAATCTTAACCCTTGGAGACGTTTTACAATGTTTTGTACACCACTAGAGCTTCGCTATTGAACACTCGTTACGAGTGTAGTCACTTGGAACAGCAAAATTCTTAAGAAATATCATAACATATACTCGACGATGCTTTTGTTTTTTTTCGGAAAGAAAGACTACCAGATAAGACAATTTTCAATCAGCTCGTCGAAGATTCCTTGTCATGAAATAGAGTCAGTTTTGATAGACTTAAAATTGATTTTTGGAAAATTTCAATTGGTTATGCTTCCTGAAAAAACAGGGTTTTGAGTAATAGTTGTTGTTATGAATGTCGTTGCCGTTTGAAGTATAGAGAAACTTTGTTGCATTTGTTAGGAAATTAGTTTTCTCTTTTTTTTTAACACTAAAAGATAGAATCAGATTCTTTTCATTCTGTAAAATGTTTTCAAAGCTAAAGAAAAAGAAAATTGTTGAAATATAAGAGTGAAAAACAATAAAATTTATTTTGTTTGAAAAAAGTGGTTGTGTCTCTTAGTTCTGATAAGTTTGGAGCACTTGCACTCATGTGTCCTCCTATTACCCACTGTTTTTCATAGTTACATCTCTGGAATGTAGTCATCGTCTTTTTTAACGTGCTTTTCCTGTTCCATAATATTTATAAAAACGCGTTGCCGACGTAGACAAATACACCGAACAAACAACTAGAAACGTGTTGTTATTTTAATCATGCTCTACCTCAAGCATTTTTTTACACTTTCTTCTTTTCAAATTTGAAAGGTTGGATCAGTATTGGTTCACTTAAAAAATATTTGATTTTTTGCAAAACAACACTAAAATTAGTGAGAAGCAGGAATAAGTCTCTTCAATAAACGGTTTTTATTTGTATTGTAAACATCCAATCAGTATTGCAACATTCATATTTTACTTAATGTTCATGTTAAGCATTAATAATCTAAGTATAATTTGTCCTCGTTTAAAATAAATCTGTCATTACGATTAAACAGGATTATGATGTTGGTGCTCTAGCTTTTTTTACTAATCAAGATGAGATTCATGAAAAAATCATTAAAAACAATTCTGATGTTACTATAGTGCCTTTCTTTACCTTGTTGAGTGCTTTTTTTAAAATCCTATCACTAAAATATAATTACTTCAATTAATATTAATAACAAGGAATTATTCACTGTTTTGCTGAACGTTTTTCGTACTATTGAACAATACATTTAGTTGAGTTCTAGTCACGCATAGATCTTAATGATCAGTTTATTGCTCTCCATTTTACGTTTACATAGTCATTCAAAACTAACAATAGTTACGATCAAACGACGATTGACAAACTTTTTGGAAAAAAATATCCATGACCTATTAAAATTGCGTCCATAATTCATAAAGAACACTCGACCTCATCAAGCACACTTCCGGGAACAAAATGAAGCCGTTTTGTGTAACTCATCAATAGATCTTTTAGTAGTATTAATCGATTATGTTTGGATAATGAAGAGTTCGATTAACATAATAAAATTTTGTTTTATTTTAACAACAAATTAACTTTTAATCAATACCTCTTCAGACTCTTAAATTGTTTTTTTTCTCGATATGAATGTTAAACAAACAAAAGAAACCACAAAGCGTGACAAAAAAAAGAAAATTAGCAATTAAAAACAAAGAAAAAGAATAATGCCATCCGTGGTCTAGTATTCGTCAAAATCATTAATGTTTGGGAATGTTATTGGAAATGCCAATTATATATATATGTGCAATATTGCTTCCGAGAAATATTCTATAAAATATAGTTAGTGCCTGCCATGTTAATACATGTTATATCAATTTTGACAAAGATATATATATTTTTTTCTATTTCAATTTACTTTATTCTATGCAACGGTAAGCTTGCTTCTCATTTTTATTTCAATGCCTTTTCACTACTAAGAAGATTTGTTATTGATTAAGATTTTCTATTGTGTATAGATTAGAATAATATTAACAAAAGATATTTATATTATTCTGACCTTTGTTGTAAAAGTAGAGACGTAATCTAACAAAGATTACATGAGATAATGTTAATTAAAAAGCAGTGTATAAATCCATTGAAAATATTTGAATTGACTGCATTTTTATTATGTTTATTACTAAAGTAAAGAGAGGAATAACATTCATTCTTCGATTGTCTTGAAAGTAATCTATTTCCTATGTTGATTTTGCCTTTGAGACCTATGGAAATTAATTTTCAATTAATTTTCACTCTGTTTTCTCTCTTTCTTTTTTTTAATATAGTTTATTAGCTCTTTTATATCAACGATTCATTAAAAGAAAACTTTCTCTTTTATTCCGTTTGTATATAAGAAAGATCTATCGTCTCTTTTTTTTTCTCTTGTTGTCAGTCTCTCGATTTCTCTTTCTCCGTTAGGTTTATATACTCAAAATATGAGCATCATCTCATTTGACAAGCCTTTATTTTCGCAGAAGTTATATCAATACCAATTATTCTAGTGTTTTGCAATGAGATAAGCACAACGACAAAGAAAAAGGCCATAGATCGTACCTTCGTTTTATTAATTAAAATCAGGATATCAGCTAATATATTCTATCAAAAAGTATTCTTTGTTTATTTTAGACAACTAAGAACTTGACTTAAATTATTATTATTGAATTTTTTCAAAAATGTTTAAACATCTCATCGTTTTACTTTCACTTATTCAACTAATACATTGTTTATCCGAACGAAGCAACAGTAAGTTTTGATTCTCGTATCAAATAAAAACAAAGTTTATCATGTCGACTATAAATATATATATATATAGTTAATCAATGGATTTTGTTTGCATAATGTTAATTTCGATACTGAAAATTATTCTTTTTTTTTGTATCGTTTAATTTTAGTTTGGTGGAGTCGACGTGATGAAACTTCTCAACCGGATTGTAAAATTGAATATGAAAATGAAAACCCATCACTTGAAGAAAAAGTTTGCGGTAAATTATTTTTCTTCAAATATTAATTATTTACATTAATGGAATATAAATTTTCTTTTAAACTTTGTTTAGGTTATTGTTATGCTAAATGTCAACAACAATTTGCTGCTTGTCTTCTAGCACAAATGAATCAAGTGATATCTGGTCCACTTGACTATTGTCAAAATTTGTCAAAAAAATGTGAAACAACCTGTTTAAATGACAAACGAACACGTCGAATTGCTGCAGAAAATTGGGGAAAAGTCGTCGAAATCTTACGACAATTCTTTTCCTACACACCAATAGATAATGAGAAAAAACATTAGAAAACAACGATCATTTTTGAGAATATTTTGATTCGGTAATTTCTCTTTTCTTGTTCCGTCTATAATTTTTCTTTGTCCCATACGTAAATATGCATATAAACAAAACAGCAAAAGTTACTTATTATTTAATTGAATAAATATTACGTCACAAAAATACAATAACCGAAAAAAAAACAAGATTAAAATAACAATTAAAATAAATTACTTTAATATTAAATACGTAGCAATTAAAAAAAGAGACAATAAAAAAAAGGCGTTTATAATAAGAATAAAAAAAGAAATGAATATATTTTTTTTTTGTTTTTCACGCTTTTTAATTATGCATCGTGGTTTGTGATCATGATGTTAGCACATTTGGCTTAACTAAAACTCGACCATAACGTTTTTCAATAGCAATTTGCATAGCACGTGATAAATCAGATAAATCATAAGTTGGTCCAATTACTTCTTCATAAGGATACTTTTTTATTGTTTTCTCAAGAAATTGAACAGCATGATCAAGATGACGTGGAGCATAATTATGAATACCTAATTAGAAAAAAAAAATTATTTTTGTACTATTTAAATTAATTAGTTTTGTACCTTTGATAGTCAAACATTTACGAATAATTTGTTCTCCCGTAATATTCAATTGTGAATGTGGATGAACCATACCAACAAAAAGATATAGTCCACCAGGTTTCAATAATCTTAAACCATCATTGACCACATTTGGTACACCACATACCTATAAAAATTATCAAGAGTAAAATTTACATAAAAAGAAAAACGAATCGCAATATTTCAAAAAGTATTCTTAAATATATATATATATATATGCAAAAACCTACTTCAACAACAACATCAATCTTGTTTGTTTCTTCTTCAAGTATTTCGTCTAGAAAAATATATGAACGAAATGACTTTATTTGTAAGTTTTACAAGCTGTAGACGATTAAAACATGTAGACATGCAAAGAACTTAAACAAGACGTGCTAAAATGAGGTTTATCCTCCGTTTAAATATGATGAATTACGATACATCTTTATTATCTATGCAGAAAGAAGTAAAATATGTGCAAAGACAAAGAAATTCCAAGCAATTATTTTAAAACAAATAGTTTTCAAAAAATATTTGCATCGTACTTTGCCTGCCTATATAATAGATACAAAAAAAGAAAGCAAAAAAGAATATTATAAAGGATACATGTGTTCAATTTTGTGTTTGAAGTGTATCAAAAGCATATCGATGAATGAAAAATAAAAAATACAAATATTTACCACTATAAAGTGGAATAGCACCAAATTGTTCTATAAATGTTGAACGTTGTAAACGAGTTCCAGAACAATAAACTCTTTCAAAACCATGTTCACGAAGAGCTGCACATGTATATAAACCAAGCATTCCATCACCCTTTTAAAAAGAAGAAAAGTAAAATAGAATTATTAATATGAAAAATCGTTTTTGTTTCTAATAACATATTATTTAAATGAAAGAATTTTATTTTTAATTACTGTTTTTTACATAGTCTTTAGATCTATGAAACTAATTATTGAAATCTTTGTGCATTTCAACAGATTAGATAAGAATAAAGTAATACTTACAAGGGAACTATCCAAAGTCATATCCATCATATGAACTCATCTTTTGTCATCAGGAAGATCTCGATAAGATTAGAAAAAAATTACATAGGGTCATCCTTATATGAGCCCTTGGAGTCGGGTAAGGATTGTTGTACTGAATTTTTAACTCAGTTATAGAAACATACCGAAGAATCGAAAAAGAAAACTTAGATGTGAAATTTTGCCCATAGATAGGTCAAATGATCTGTAGAGTACCGTAAAAATTTCAGCCAAAGAAAATGACCTTTTGTCAATACATCGAATTTCGAAAAAATCATCGTTTGTCACAATCAAGTTTAATTGAAAATTAAATATCTCAAAAAAGAAAAATATTCTTTTCGACTGAAACTTTAAAAATATTCAATGAATTACTTGATCTATGTATGGGCGAAATTTCGTTTTTTTTTTATTATTCTGTATATATCTAAAGCTGAGTGGAAAATTCAGTAAAACGAACATAACTCGGTATTGAAGGCTTATGTTGGGACGAATCCTTTTACGCATTTTCTATTCTTATCGAGACCTCCTTATGGGCTCAATATGAGCTCCTACTGTAGGTATCAGTTTGAGTAGTTCCTTCCGTTAGTCAATAGAAATGTAGCATCAACTTATAGATTGTTGAATGATACACATTTGATCTCCCATCGATTAAGTATTGATTCAAAGCATCGAAATATTTAAATAATGACTAGTAGAATTCTTAGATCAAATGTCATATCGATATTTCTCATTTAGCATTTTTTAACAGATACATATAGACTTTTTCTGTGAGTAAAAATAAAGTTATTTTATTTTGGTTCAAATAGAATAACTAAATAACATATGTTAATTAATCATTTATAATTAATATTCGATTATTATTTAGTAGAGAAGTAGAAAAACAATGTTGTTCTCAAGAAGTTAATAGCCTATGTATATTGATATCAAATTAAATCTCATTACAATTTTTTCAAGTATTATAAGGCAATGATACTTTGTCATAAGCACAGTAGAGTACTCTACGCTCTTTAAAAATGATTGATACTCAATACAGAGATTAAAATAACTGCGTTTTAAAACCTATTAGAAATCAGCATTAGTTTTTAAAGTTATCTTATCGAACGAGCAGAAAGATGAATTTTTCTTGAAAATAAGTCCACAGGACGAAGGACTATCCGACAAGGTCATTGATCATGGTGCTAGTATGTGTGGTAATGTGTTGCAAATAAAATTATGGTTAAGAAGACCTTTCTTTTTTCTTTTGATTACTCTACATGGTTTTGCTCTATTTATTAAGTATTCTCATTTTTCTTTTGTAAAAATTACAATAACTTGAAATCTCCCTCGCGAATTTGCAATAAGTTTTTATTTCATATGAAATTCGTCGCTTATTAGATTTATATAAAGAACTTTATTCTTTTGGGAAATCATTTTATTTTCATTGTTGAATTATGTAAAGAAATATTTTAATTCTATCGTTTCATAAAATTAAATTTCTAATTCAAAAAAATTGTTACCAATTCCGTATATAGTTGTTTAGTAGATCGTGATTTATAATCTAATCAAGTATCATTCGAATTGTTTTGTTGGTTCGTTCATATACGAACTGAAATCTCTTTACTTTGATCGATTATCTTGGATGAAATTTGACAACTAAAAATACACACTTCATACCAATGTCAGTACGCTAAAGTTAGAGAAAATATACTACTGTCAACTATTTGCTAAGAGAATGTAATTAAATTTTTCATCAATCAGAATTTATTGATGACTGCTAAAGGAAACGAGATTCATTTCCTTCTGAGTATATGTATCTATTTTTGAGTACATATATCCCCCTGGCAAAAAATAGTTTTACACAGTATTTTTAATAAATCATTACTATGAATAAACATTTTGAGAAAAATAACCATATATTCGGCTAGCCCTTGGAGTTCTCTACAACCCTATATATATTCCATTTTAAATTGCGCTTTGTTTGCTAAAGATAAATTGAAGTATAATGAAGGCACCCTCATCGTCAGATTCCCC